GGAATTCAGATCTGCTAAGGAGATTCCGTGACATCATGTGATGACTCAGATCAGGACTTAAGACAAATATTCACCAATTCATCTCAACTTTACTAGTCATGTACAGATACAAAGAACTGTGGAGCATGCAGAAATGACTCAGACCAAGGTTCTGTTCTCAAGATATGACTTTCTGTTGGTAAAAACATGCAGGTATCCCAAAACAAAGCAGGGGTTTTTCTAAAGATAGAGGTGAGTCCTGAGGGCACAGTGAGGGAGGAGCTGACACATCCAGCTATAGGTTTAGGGAATATCAATGGAGAGTCAGGGTGTGTGAGAGTCATTCCAGGTTGGAAGAGATCAGGAGTATTTGTGACGCCTCTTTCAAGTGTTGGAATAGTCCAGTAAGGATGAAAGTACAGGATAAAAGGAAGGGTGAAGAGGATAAAGTACCACAGAGCAGAGTTTTACAAATACACCTGACCCGAAGATTTTCCATGGTACTTGTTACAAAGACAAAATCCCTGGCTATTCTTTGAGGTTCTCCAAGGAAGTTTTGACTCAGTAGGTCTAGCGTGAAAACAAGGATGATGGACTTTTAGCAGGGTTCTCAAATGAGTTTGTTGATCAAGCTCATTGGAGGAAGACTTTATAAGGGCCTTACCCATAAATATCAGTGGGCCATATATATTTTTACCCAGTCCAAGACAATTAGCTTATTAAAAATGTAAGAATTACCTGCTGTTCAAAAGAAGTCATACAAATGGCCAATAGGAATAGGAAAAAAGTCTCAACATCACTAATCATCAGTAAAATACAAATGAAAACCACAATGAGATATCACTTCACATCTTTTAGAATAACATTTATAAAAAGATGAAAGATAAGTGTTGATGAGAATGTGGTGTAAAGGGAATCCTTGTAGACTATGGATTGAAATGTAAATTAGTTCAGCTGTTATGGAAAACAATAGTTTTCTCAAAAGTTGTAAAAATGGTACTACCATATGATCCAATAATCCCACTTCTAGGTATATAGTCAAATAAATTGTAATCAGTATGTTGAAGAGATAGCTGCACTCCCAAGTTCACTGTAGCATTATTAACAACAGCAACATATGGAATCAACAGATGAATGGATAAAGAAAATATGGTAAATATATATAAAGGAATGCTATTCAGCCTTTAAAAATAGGGAAATTCTGTCATTTGCACAAATATCAATGAATCTGGAGAGTGTTAAATGAAATAGACACAGAAACACAAATACTGCATGATCTCTCATGTATAAATGGAGTCTTGTAAAAGTCAAATGCACAGAGGCAGAGAGTAGAATAGTGGTTACCGGTAGATGGAGAAAGGGAGAGCTGGGGCTGATGTTGGTCAAAGGATACAAAATTTCAGTTAGACAGTAGGAATGAGCTCAAGAGATCTATTATATACCATAGTGATTATAGTTAATAAAAGTATATTGTGTACTTGAAAACTGGTAATAGGATAAATTTTAAGTATTCTAACCAAAAACTATGACACTTATGTGAGATAATACATATGATTAGTTTGAGTTACCCATTCCACAATGTAAGCATATATCAAAACATAATGTTGTATACTATAAATATATACAATTTTGTCCCTTAAAAATGTTTTAAAAGAATTTATCAAAAAAATAATTTATTTGCTGGTGATAAAGTGAAATCTAAAGGAGTAAGGTGCATGTTTTATACTTGCCTGCTCAGTTTCTTGAAAGGGAATAAAAAATCCAGGCTTTTAAGAAGCAGTAAATAGAAATGCAGGCTGTCTGGCTTCCAAACTGGATCTCCCACTCACTGTCTATGTGACCATGGGACTCAGTTTCTATATCTGCAAAATGTAGATAATAACAGCACCCTCTACAATAAATCACTGTGAAGACTAAATGAGTCAATTTCACAACTATCCCGGCCCATAGGAAGCTCTATTATTACTCTCAATAAGATCAAGTCATCTTTCCTGCTTAAACATTAGGCTTACTCCCAAAACTTTCCTCAGAGCCCCCAACACCTCCTTATTCCTCAAACTGTAAATAATGGGGTTCAGCATGGGGGTGATTATGGCATCAAACACAAAGAGATGCTGGTCCACCTCTGGGGGCAGAGAGGAACGTGGGGTCATGTAGATGATCATGGCTGGACCAAAGTAGAGGCTAACCACACCCACGTGGGAAGAGCAGGTGGCCAGAGTTTTGTTCCTGCCCTCTGGTGAGTTCATGTGGAGAACAGTTAGCAAGATTAGAGTATAGGAGGTCAGGATGAGACCAAAGGGGATGAGAAGGAAAACAATGCCAGACACCAACACCACCTTCTCATAGGTAGAGGTGTCTTCACAAGAGAGCTTCAAAAGGGCCATGACCTCACAATAGAAATGGTGAATTTTCCTAGAACCACAAGTAGAGAAGTGCATAGCATAAACTGTGTGCGCTAGGGAGACAAGCACACCCCCAGCCCATGACCAGGTGGCCATTTGCACACAAACTCTGGGGGTCATAATAACTGGGTATCTCAGGGGGCTACAGATGGCCAAGTAGCGATCAAAGGCCATGAGAGTCAGCAAAACACATTCAGCCACTCCTAGCATCAAGTAAAGAAATATTTGGACTCCACAGCCAACACGAGAGATGCCTCTGTATCCTGAGAAGAAGCTGATGGCCATCTTGGGGGCGGTGGTGCAGATCAGTATCAGGTCCATGAGGGAGAGCTGGCTGAGCAGGAAGTACATGGGGGTGTGGAGGCGGGCACTGCCCCAGATTAGCAGGGTCAGGACAGAGTTTCCCATGATGGCCACCCCAAGAATTAGGAGGACAATGGTTATGAAGAGGCCAGGATACTGGGAGTCAGAGGATAGGCCCAGGAGAATGAAATCTGTTGTAGAGGATCCATTATCTCGCCCCATGTCTTGTCTGCTGGCTTGCTCTGGAGGATCACAGAGAAAAACACACACCACAAAATCACTCTTCCCAAATAAAAGTATCATTTATTTGGATTTAATTCTGAAGCTCATGTATTTAATAAATGAATCCAAATATATCGCAATGTATTTGAAAGCAGAAAAGCATCCTCATTTGTTATTCATTATTTCTTAGAAATATTATTTAGCAATCCATGTGGAAAGATAAACAAAAGAATTGAAAACTATTGATTTTGGTCATCATATTACTGTACTGTTCAGCACAATGTTGCTATAATTTCGTAAGCATTACAAGTATAACTTTTAGTCAATAGTAATATCCCTATACATTTTGGGAATGTGATGTCCAGAGAGCACCCAGACATAATCCAGTGTGGACACGGTTACTAGTGCACAATTACTGATGCCCTCTAGAGCCTCTGCCTACCTCTCACTTCCAGATTCACCCCTACATCTAGAGTTGCCCACAGGGGACTCAGAGAGGATGAGGTAGGTGGCATGATCAGCCACAGGTAGGATAGGAGATGGCCCTATCCCTTGGGACTGGCCAAAAATGCCTTGAAGTCAGCTTTAACTAGCCTTTGGGGTCCATGTGATAAATCAGCCAATGTAGACTGATTGGAAGTATATCATACTTCAGAAATTCCAGTCTTAGTTTCTGAGAAAGTGCACCTCAAGTTCCAATGAATAATTCCTACAAAAGCTGCTTGTTTTCTTCTTTGTTTCTCTGCTATGTCACCTTCTCCCATGTAATAAATATAGCCATTTAAGCAAATCTTTCTATAACATTGTGTATCATATCATCTAAAAATTTGGCTTTGTTCATCTTTTATAGGTATTAGTGTTATCTCCTTACGATGAGGATGAGAAAAGCAAAAATTAAGATGGCCAAGAACTGTCATGGTGTAGAGTCCAGATGAAATGGATTGGAATAGGCTTCATTGGAATTTCTCATCTATTGTTACTGTATTTTTTGAAAGTATGGTTCATTGCCATTTTTACCTCACAGCACAATTGTATATCCCAGTACTAGAAAATAAATATGATAACAGAATCATTTTTTAATATGGCAGATATTTTATTAACATGATACCAAGTGCATGTAAAATTATAATCATCCAGTCTTTAGCCATCCCAAAGATACAGAATTAAAGCATCAGTTGTCAAGCCTTGTCTGATGACACTGGAAAGGCATAGCTGAAGAACCTAAGATAGATATTCTAGAGGGCATTCTGTAAGACATTTTGCAAAATAGGTTTGTGAAACATTGCTTATTACTCTGTCTTGCCTGCAAAGGCTTGTAATGGCATAATCAAGACTCTGGAAAATCTTGCAGGTAAAAAAAGTCTTCAGTTGCTATCCAGTATCTCCAATAGTTTGACAATGAGCTTTTCTTTTCTTTTTTTTTGACAATGAGCTTTTTTTCCCATTGCACTTATTAACACTCCCTGGTCTGTTAGGTTTAGTGGAACACTATTTTGGAAATATTGAGTTAGACTCAAGGACATTCAGGAATTGACAAGGGGTGACTGAAAGTGTTGTTTTCTTTCTAGAAATTCTAAATTAAATCATAATTTTTATTTTGACCTGATTTTGTGGGATTGTTTATGTTCTTGTTAATTGACATAGAACTGGTTTACACTGAAGAGGAAAAAAACCTGTCATCTAAAAAGAGCCCGTTTTTGAGAGAACAATGAAGAATGAGTAAACTTAATAAACAAAAAGCAATTTCTAAATTTTTATTTGATTAATTGTAAACATATTTTAAAAGCTTTGTTTTAATAAATCATTGTAATTATCTTGCTTTTAAAATACATTATAAGGCTAGGTGCAGTGGCTCATACCTATAATTCTAGCACTTTGGGAGGGTGAGACAGGAGGATTAATTGAGGCCAGGAGTTTGAGGTCAACCTGAGCAACATACAGAGACCCTATCTCTGCAGAAAATGGAAAAATTAGCCAGGTGTGCTGGTGCACACCACACCTGTAATCCTAGTTAATGGGGAGACTGGGGCAGTGAGCTATGATGATGCCACTGCGGTCTAGCCTGGGGAACAGAGCAAGACCCTTGTCCCCTCCCCCAAAATAAATTATGAGGAGCACAATTATTCAATGAGTAAAAATAAATAATTCAGTTTTCTATACCTGCCAATTAGCATAGAAAGATGTTGAAAAGTAGAGAAGGTGGGATGAAAGAAAGGTAGGAGGGAAATCTGAGAAGAGGAGAGAGATGGATGGTAGCAGAGTCCTAAGCAGAGGTGTGAGAGGAGAGGCACTGTTCCTTCCACTCCTTCCTGAGCTTCACTCCCTTGCAGTCATTGCCTGGCCACCCTATCTAACACACACCACTGGCTGGCTTCATCCCTCACCCCTGCTTTAAGTCCCTTCATACTCATTATCACCATCTGAAATCTTGTAAAACATCTATTTGCGTGTTCATGTCTCTTCCACGCAAGTGTAGGTTTCTGGAGGGCAAAAAAAGTGGCTTATCACTGTATACTGGCAGTGTCTGGAAGTTGCTTGCTACTTAGCACTCAGTCAGTATTTATGAAATAACTGAATGGAAACATACACAAGAAGACAAGATGCTTCTTCTATGCATGTGGAAAGAGTAGGAGGAACAGGGATAGAGCAGAGCATCCTGTTAATGTAATCTGAGTATCCTGTATAGAGACTGCTTTGATCACATGCCCCTGCTACTTACTTTGATGTCTGGCTCCCAAGAAACCCGCCCGACACTGCCCAATGAAATGCCAAGAGCCTGTTGGTCTCTGGCACTGCCCCTCAGCATTCATCCTCTCTGCACAGTTAAGTCCTACAGCTTCTCAGCAAGGAGTGGAGTGGAGCTCATCTTCAAATGTAGTAAAGCACAAAAACAGAAGGATCATTATGACTTTTCCAACTATAGATAAGATGATCACATAAGTATTCTAAACTGAAGGATGGCAGAGGCAATTTTCAGACTTGATAGCATCGTGTCAAGGTGAACAAATGAGCTCAGATCATCTCACAGAAGAGCAACTAGGGAGAGGTTTCTATGCAGCTTTGCCCTGGCTCATAATAGGCTTTCATGAGTATCTGTCAAATTTAAAATTCAAGCATGAATTTAAATATATATTGTCAAGTGTATAAATCTTTACCCTATGTTTCAAATATTTATGATGTGTATTGAATAAATTTAGATGCTTTTATTGAAACTTGGCTTGGTTAGAATCTCCTCTCAAAGGCTAGAAAACAACAAAGGTGCCTTAAGCACCATCCTAGAACACAAGGGTTTAATCTGTATTTATGCATAATTAGCTTATCTATTAATATTTTGCTCAGACTGACTAGTTACCGACTGAACAGTAGCTTTTTAGTATAGTATGACTATAAACTGTGTTCACATGAAATACAGATATAACTTTCAAATATATTCTGCCCCTGAGATATGACCATTCAGCTCTCGTGCAGCTGCTCATGAAGATTCTCGGAGCTTGTACCTAAAGCACTTTCAGGATATTACCCCATATACAGCCTCACAAATTGATTCTCACCTTTATGCCTCCCACACAAGCCTAGGAACAGTGATTTCTTTCTCCAGTGTCGGGTTACCTTGTCATCATGAGTGTGTCTGTTCTTATCCCCTCCTAGGGGCTCTGAACTCTTCTACATCTCCCTCGGTATCCTGCAGCTCATCAAGTGAGACATTAGGCTCTCTATGTGGAGAATAAATGGTTACAACTGTTGACGCTGTTGAAGTTGGCACCACAAGCTCATGTCACACCCAGGTTGTCTCTTGTAGCCCCTGAAAAAGAGATTAAAAACAGGACTGTGGACTGGGAAATACACTGAGGGGTCTCTAGGGAGTGTGTTGACTCACTCCAGCCCTGGTAGGTAATTAGGTTGGGTGTCAAAGAGCAGAGCCAAATTTCATCAGGGATGAAAAGTCACCCCTCATCCTCTGCTTAGCAATATGATGGTTGCAGAGCAAGGCTGTGTTTGAACCCAGATTCACCTTTTACTTCCTGTGTGATCTTGGGCAGGTTATATCATATTCCAAGCTCCTGTTCCCTCACCCACAGGTTGGAAATAATCATAGGCTTTTCTCATAGGGTTGTTCTGAGGTTTAAAAGAAATAATACATGTGAAGACCTGAACAATATACCTCACTTGGTCCATAATTATGTTAAGATGAGTTTTGAGACAAAATAGCTACTATTGATTTAACCCGAACTTACTGTGATTTCACTGATAATGGATGGCTGTGGTATATGCAAGTTTAAAAAATACCACCCCAGTTTATACTCTAAGACATAATTTAAGACATAATCAGTTTTGTAGTTTGGCTAATCTGAGGGAAAGAGTCAGTATCTTAGGAGACATGTCTGACTTACAGGTGCTGGGGTGGTATCAGCTCCAGCCAAACACTAATCACTGGTGGTTTCAGTGGGAATTTCAGCCTTCCTCCTACTTTGTCAAAAACTGCCACCTTTCCCTAAAAATAGAATAAAAAAAAGCAAATAAATAAAAACACCCCCAAAACCTGCCACCTGCTGTTACTGCTGTTAGAAAGTCACCCTTGACCCCATGTTGGCTCTAACGCTTGTATTTATTATAAAAGTGTTTGTGTTTATTATAAAATTTCAGTGCACATAGTTGTTTACATTCCTTCTTGTTCCTCTAAAATGCTTTATAAATGCTTTAAGAGAGAAACTCAACTAACCTCCTTGGACTTGGTAAGCGCTTGATAAATATTTTTTATTCAACTCAATACTAAATGGTGGGATTGTTAATGATGAATAGCCCTTCATCAAATGAATGTTGTTTTAGTTCTTTGTGTGACAATCACTTGCAAGGCAATTCCTATGAGCCTGAACTCTTCTTGGCACTTTATAAATATTAACTCATTCAAATATGACCACAACTCAACAATGTATTGTTATTATCACATCCATTTTATAGGAGAGAAAACTGAAGTCTAGAGGAATTCAACAATTTGTCCAATGTCAAAGAGCTAAAAGAGGTGACACAGATCAAGCCCTAGAAGTCTGTCTCTAGGATCTACACCCCCACTGCTTCACTGTGCTCTCAACCCTCTGAACATTTCCCATCCAAGGGCAATGCTCCCAGCTCCTCACCACAGTCTCACCTCCTAAATATTCTCCCAGCCCTCTGACCATACATACTCCCAGACCTTCCATCATGCTCCCTCTATGACTTGAAATAAGTACCCTCCTCCATAACATAGAACTAGATTAACCTCAGGGAACTACTCAGCACACTGGGAGTTCTGAGCATTATTTAGAGCTTTGGATCCCAGTGGGCCATGCCATCATCCATGGACATTCATGTATATGACATCAGCTTCCATCCTGTGTGACTTTGAACTGAGCCTCAGGTTTACCATTAATCTTGGTTAGCCAAGACACATGGGGAAGTGCCTGGGAGAGAAAGTTGGGCCAGAGAAAACCTGCCTTCTGGGGATTTGCAAGAACTCAACAAAGTTTATTTAATGGATGACTAAATTTGTAAGATTATTCTTTCATTGGGAGGAAATTCAATACTTTGCAAATTGAGTCATTATTATTATTGTGAATATAAAAATCACATTTTGATTTATAGGTAAAATGCATTTTATTTTTTTTTCATTTTATTATTTTTTCTTGCAGCTCCTCTTATCAGCAGTATAATGTGTACGTTCCCCAGTGCCCTACGCTGCAAGCTCCTCAGTGGCTGGGCCTTAAAGAATTCTCACTATCCAGCTTTGGGTTACAATCAGGAAAATCACAACTTAATTTAAATAGCATAAAAATTCAGTGGATTAGTAAAGAGCTGCTTTATATTTCCTGTGAGTGATGGCACTGAAATGACCACCACAATGCTCCTGTCCACGCTGACTGAGACAGCCCCTGCTTGTGAGACAGACACCAGGGTGGGGTTCCGCCGGAGGGTGTATTTTGCTGGAGACTTTCACACAGCCCTTATGGGGTCACAGATCCAGCACATCATACCCCATAAATGTATATAATTATGATTTGTCAATCAAAAATTAATAAATTTTTAAAGTAAAATAATATAGCAGAAGATTAGCGACAACTCAAATGTTCATCAATAAAAAGGTAGCTACACAAAACATGGAACATCTTTACAATGGGATATACTATTGTTGATTTTTTTTAAAAAAAACAAGGCAATTATTTTGATTGGACATAGAAAGTTTTCCAAGATAAAATGCTAAGTGAAAAAAAGAAAAACAATAATAAAATTTAAAAATAAAATGAAATTTAAAAATGATGCAGTATAACAGTAAATAAGGTAAAATACAGTGTGCTAACATTTGTGTAAGAAAGAGAAAAGTAATTTGTATTTGACAAGATATATAAGATACTGGCAACATTCATGCCTTCCAGGGTTGCTTGTAAGGATAGGGAGGACAGAAGGAGCACTATAAACTCTTTTGTGTCATATCCCTGTAGTATGTATTCAAAACATGAAATAAAACAAAAACATTTTTAAAATACATAAAATGAACAAAATAATTTTTTAAATTAGTCAACTTGATTCATACAGACCACTTTTGCTAAGGCTACAGGAAGGTCTAGAGCCTAAAAACAAGACAGGCCATGCAGCCAGTTTGTCCCCATCACCCTTCAAAGCCTGGGTCTTTCTTTCCTTTGACTGTAGGAAGGCTAACTCTGAACATACTAGTCAGCAAGAGGAGGAGAAGATAAGGGTCAAAAATTTAGTCTCCCTGAGGCCAAAAGTCACCTTAGGGTCTCCTCATGTCAAGGAAATAGTCCCATTTTAGGGTCCCATTACCACCCATATTCCCATGGTTCCCAATCCTGCTGACTACTTGCACTGGAATATCAGTCTTCTCCTGCCCCCAGACTGCAACTTCCACTATCATCCCTCTTGTTTCTCAGGCTTTTGGACTCAGACTAGAACTTACACCACTGGTTTTCTTGGTTCTCTGGCTTAGAGATTTTCTGGAAGGACTCATGCAACTTAAGTAAAAGCTTAGACAAACTGCTAAAGTTTATTATAGCAAATGATACAAAAACAAGATGAGCAGAAAACAAAGATAGATATTAGCAGAGTGCAGATAGGCACAATCTTCCAAATGCTTCCTGGGTAAGGGTTACATGCATGTACTTTCTCTACAACTATAAACTGCAGAGATGAGACACTTGTGAGATGCTTCTATCCAAGGAAGCCTACCATTCCTGATACTCATGTGTATGAAATCAGCTTTCATCCTGGGTGACTCTAAGCTGAGCCTCAGAGTCTTCAGTTTTGGAGTTCAGAGTTTCTAAAGGAAGCTGGCACATCCCTGGCATGTATCTATTACACAACCACCCATGATGGGAACCTCCAGCCAGGTACCAGGTGCATATCATAAGTCTTCATGTTTATTTTAAACTATGCTGCCAGTGTCTGTTGCATCCTTCCCAGTACCCCAGATGCACAAAATAGCATCATTGATCAGTGACTGTGTGAGAATTCCAATGTTTAGTTCTCTATCAAAGCTACAGGACAGTGCCAGCTCCAGGTATCCCCTAAGATATAGCAAGGATTGAGAAAACTAGAGTTGTTGCATTAACTCTTTCCTCACAAGCCTCAACCTAGGATTGCCACGAACATTGTGAAAAGAAGCTGGCCAGAGAGAGAATACCTGCCCCCATGTTCTGCATCCACTAAGCACAGTAGTCCATAAAATAGCATTAAACCTGGTCCATTTGAGCTGGATTGGGAAAAGGAAAGTCTTGAATCTGCTTCTCCAAAAATTTAAAGAGGGCTCTCTCTTTTCCTCTTCACTTTTTGTGTTCCAGATTCATAATCTATTAATAAAAGAACTTCCTACATCTTAAAGGGAAATGACTGAACTAGAGAGAAGACTAACTAGCTGGTTCCAAACCATTTGAAGAATGTATGTGGTCAGTTGGGAAAATAGTGCCTGGATAAGATTACTAAGTTATATTTATGGCTAGTTAAATTTCTATAGAGCAATAAAATCACATATCCTGAGTGTTAACCACTACCAGCCTATAAGAGCATGGCACTATACCAATTAAAGGTTATCTGCTAATGTGAAAGGGCTATAAGATATCATATCTTTATTAGTTGTGGGTTCTTAAGCAAATATTCTGTGACAAATTTTCATTCTTAAGAGTAAAAGATGAGAGTCAAGCAGGTTTACTAGAAAATCAGGGAGAGAGAGAGAAAGAGAGAGAGAGAGAATGCATGTAATAATTACTTTTTTAAAGTTCAGAAAAAGAAAATTTCTTTCATTCTCTCAAATTTCCCGTTTCCTACAATCTGCTCTGTAACTTTGTTCTGATGCTTTCCATTGCACCTTCCTACCCACACACATTCCTCCTCTATCTCTCCCACTAATTGTTCCACTAATTGTTCAGAAACAACTTAAAGATACTAAATTGAATTAATTTTTATTGGTAAGTGTCCTAAATGTGCATCCTGTGAGGAATCAGCAAGAGAGGGGATTGCAACTAACAGCTCCCAGCATGAAACTTTGGGGGTGGAATATGTGAGTGAGGGCAGTAATCCAAATAAAGCTAATTAGCTTTCCTGATAATCCAATCAATGGGCTAAGACCACAAGTTCTGAGACCACCTAAAATTAAACTCATTGACCTTTTGGGAGGAGGTTCTCAGTAGCAAGTGAAGAAAAGACCAAGTAGATGGAAAGATAGTTCCATTTCTTTAGACAAATATTTCTCGTGAGAAAGCCAACTTCAGAGCTACAGCTCCCAGTTAAGTCAAGTCTGGGCACAAGATGGCTCTGGCTCATTTATTCCTTGGTATGGGCCAGGCCTGATATAAAAAGTGGCTCTAATCCATGCCCTACAGACCTGGCCTTTGATCTTCAACCTGGTACTCATTCCGCTAGTTCTATTAGAGACTAAGACAATAAGTCACTGTCCCTAGCAGGATGTCAATATGTCTATCCCATTAATACCCATAAAGTATATGCTTTTATCTCATATATGGACTAAGTTTCAGCATCTCTCATTTAGAAGGAACTCCAAAGGTACCCGTGATTCTGAGATGCAGTGACAAATGAGCATTCCTGCAATCATTGGTCATTGGAATAATAGCCATTAGAGAATATGCTTTTGTTTTTTATCATGCATGCAGCTCTTTAAATCTTATAAGTGATGGGACAAGTTGTGATGATCATTAATTAATTAATAATCTCATGGGGCTGTTAGGAAGATTATGAGCATTCAATGAGATAACACACACACACAGCTTAGTATACTGCCAAGCACCTAGAAAACATGCTATACATGTTAGCTACTATTATTTGTGTTATTGTTGTTATCTTTGCCCTAAATAGAATGGTATACATCAGAGAATAGCTGAAATCAATCAACTTAATCAAACTAACGACAAACTGTATGTGCGGAACCTAATGTGACTGTTTAGGACTAGAACTAAACCATTTCCACCAAGTAGAATGATATGCATCCCT